GAAGAGCGGAGTTCTGACCACTGGACCGCCTGGGAATTCCCTCAGGTAGTTTTAAAAATTGCTGAATCTGGTAGAAAAAATCCATAACTTGGACACCTCACTTGCTACTAGAACAACTGAGTAAACAAAAAGAATCCTCCAATATGTGCCAGTTGGTATTTATGTTATTTAAAAACAAATGATTCATCAAAGGAGGGAGAACTGAAAATATTAAGGGCTCTAGCTAAATAAAATGTTTCCAAACTTGCTATTATAATCTATCCAAAAATGTTTTTTTTAACACTCAGAAAAAGTTACCTCAAAGTTTTCATTTGGAAATTAAATTTTTAAAAAGTACAGAAAACAGGTTGTAGAAACAAAGTTCAGCAGGTGTTCATTTCTGTTAGAATGGTCCTATTACTCAAGCCCGTAGGACTCTGTGAGTCAACAGTGAACGCACAATACTAACACGGCACATTTCTCTGGGCTACACACCATGATGCCTTTCCTTTTGGGTGTACTGGCTCTGCTCCAATGTGTCCCCATTACGTCCTTCGATGGGTTCTTCCATGGAATTAAACAGTGTAGGAGTAAGTGACAAAACACAAATTGCAAGCATATTAAAATTAACTTCATTAAAATTATACTAAGGCAACTGATATATAAATAGGAACTGATAAAAACAACAATAAAAATCTCCACCAATTAAAACTGCAATGTATCTCTACCACTCTGATTCAAGATCACTTCATCTTCTAATTTTGGATCTCTTCCTTATAGTCTTCTTGTATTTCACTGTATAAAGCAGTGGCCAAGCACTTTGTAAGATTTTTTTTTTTTTTTTTTTAAGGTAGATGTTTTTTAAAGAAACATTGTTTCAATTCTAGACTCAGGGCTTTGATTTAATCTTCCTTCCCCAAACCTACCATTCAGTCTTGAACTATCTTTGCTCTTTCTATTTTTATGGAGAATGTCTATAACACTGTTACCATCTCCAGCCCAAATAGCTTCTGGTAGGACACCTTTCAAGAAAACAGTACCAAAAAAAAAAGAAAGCAGTACCTGCAAGCTAACTGGACAAAAGGAAAGATCAAAGTCCTAAGAATGTGGCATAAAACCATAAATACATCTGCCTCATATCCAGGTACATATATCTAATGTTCATATATCAAATACAAGGTCCAAAAGTCTTAGACATTTTAATATACAGCTCATAAGTTAAAAAAAAAAACTGGCAGAGAAATACCAAACCCCCCCAAATAATATAGCAAATCCCAATAAAATTTAGGTCAGTGTTTTAAACCATCACAATTATTTTTACAGAGAACAAAAGTTGTCTACATATTTATTCAGTTTAATGTAGACGGTAAAGTTACTTTAAAAAGCAAATAATCTGATGAAAACTTAGAACTCCCAATATTATCTAGTTAAGAGAAAAAAAAAACTCTTATCTCAATTACATTTCTTTTAAACTATGTTATTAGTGAGCTTTCATTTCAAATCAGACATTCCCAGGAAAGTCTAAATATTTTAAATGTGCTAAATGTACACACAAACACAGTAAAGTTCCAAAGTCTCCTCTACAGGGTAAAATTTTTTATTAATCTTTAAGTTCGCATACTGATTTTTTTAATTAGGAGCTTTACTCTTTTTCCCATAACAGCAAATTTTCGTAATTACCATAATGAAATAAAATATTGTGAGAGTTCTAGTTATATCTTAAATTTATTTAATGATATAATTTCCATGAAATGAAAATCAACCTCATTACTTTATAGACACCCTGGATAAACAATTCCTTATTTATTTAATTGCAGATTTCTTTTTTGTTTGTTTGCAAATGTTTTAAAGGCCCCTAAATTAGGTTGAACTTGGATGGTTTTACCATTAGGTTAAACTAATATATAACCAAGTTTTCCATACAAATTTACAAATAATCTGCTTGATAAAAACTGTGTGAAACTTCACACTATGAACATTACAATGAAAAGTAAAGGGAAAACTCATACGTTTTTTTGAAAAGAGGAAAGATGGGATTATTTTCAAAGCCCTTAAGGCTCAACTTTCAAGCTTCTGTTGACTAACTCCCTGTGAGAGAAAAAACAATATCTCCAGGGAGAAGCATGACAAGTTGTTCTTAAAGTATTTCTCGGCAAGATCAGCTTGGTGCTTTGTAACCACCTAGAGGGGTGGGAGGGAGATGTAAGAGGGAGGAGATAAGGGGATATAGGTTTATGTATAGCTGATTCACTTTGTTTTGTTTTTTTTTTTGAGGTACGCGGGCCTCTCACTGTTGTGGCCTCTCCCGCTGCGGAGCACAGGTTCCGGACGTGCAGGCTCAGCAGCCATGGCTCACGGGCTCAGCCGCTCCGCGGGATGTGGGATCTTCCCGGACCAGGGCACGAACCTGTGTCCCCTGCATCAGCAGGCGGACCCTCAACGACTGCACCACCAGGGAAGCCCTGATTGTTATAAAGCAGAAACTAACATACCATTGTAAAGCAATTATACTCCAATAAAGATGTTTAAAAAAAAATAAAACAAAACAAAAACAAACAAAAAAAAGTATTTCCCCTGCAAAATCATTCTTAAATGATAGTTTCTTAAACTACTGATTAGATTTCTATAAAGGCTTTTTAATATTCTTATAAATCTAAATTTTTATAATTAACCAAAATACTTATGATTCAAGAATTAGTTTACTAACTTATTCTAAAAAGACAGTAGATTACATTCACCAATAAGAAATATAACCAGAGTAAAAGACTATTTAAGGATACAAACACATCAATAATTAGTATACCAGAACACACTCAGTTTAATATAGTGTATTTTTATACATTATACAAGATAGGAAGAAAACTAGACCTGGGGAGAATTAACAAATATAGACCTTAGCAAGAAAGGTAATTTTACTGATGAAAAATCTAGATGTAAGTACATATACAATATTATCAATGTGTAAATTAAAAAAGCATTGCTCTAAGGTTTAAAGCACAATTATTTAAGAAGAGAGTCAGTTTCCTGGCACAATATGCAAGCCTTTGATGAGCGATTTCTCATTTATCTTGATTTACAATGATGTATGCTAAAAACTTGAGACAAACTACAAAATGTTAATCAAAATGTTGAAACATGATAATTTCTATAAGTATGATAAGACAGGCATTTTTAAAATCAGAAGCTCAATTTTCCCACTGAATAAAACTATAATTAGTCACCCAAGCTCCAAAATAATAAATTTTATTTAATCAATTGTCATTTAAAAAAATATGAAAGTAGGAAAAATCTGAAAGCTAGAACCATGCCGATGTTATTCTATAAAATTAACCTTATTATTTTGTGATGGTTTTCCAAAATCAAAGGTCCTTTTATAGAAAAAGTGAATATATATGTTAATAGATGAAAATATTCATGATTTTAGAACTGATTTACTTACAGCAATAATTTGAAAGCATCATTTTCCAATGAAACAGCTTTGCCAATATTTCTGTGTTTTAAAAAAAGGCAGGGGCTTCCCTGGTGGCGCAGTGGTTGAGAGTCCTCCTGCCGATGCAGGGGACACGGGTTCATGCCCCGGTCCGGGAAGATCCCACATGCCGCGGAGCGGCTGGGCCTGTGAGCCATGGCCACTGAGCCTGCGCGTCCGGAGCCTGTGCTCCGCAACGGGAGAGGCCACAACAGTGAGAGGCCTGCGTACCACCAAAAAAAAAAAAAAAAAAAAAAAAAAAGGCAAAGGAATAGCTTTGCTATGGGGGTGTAAACAACTTAAAATACCAACCCTGTGACTGCCAAGACTTCGAATGGACAACGCATCCTCAACTCCCTGATAAAAATAAAAACAAACATAGTAAAGGTGTGTGAGTGACTATGGCAAGTTGATGAGGAAAAGTATTAGAGGTAAGTTTGCAAGTTATTACAAACCAGAGAAGGACGATGATGACTGGACCGGTGGGAATACCTGGCCCTTTCCAACTCATCCTGGGAAAGGAGAAAGTACATGGAGAGTTAATCACTCAGCCAAAGGCTGTTGGTCAGAACAGCTGAGCCCAGCAGCACCTTCCCCACAGCAGGCGGTAGGGACAGCTCATCCTCAAAAGCTGGGTTTGGGGCAGCCATGTCCCTCAGTTGGAAAGAAAGTAGAAATAATCTTGGCAGTGTTTTTATTTGAACAAGTGTGTGTGTGTATCTATCATGTATCTATTTATCTATCTATCTATGGATAGATAGATATATCTGACCACTTGTAGAAGGTACTCTATATATGACTAAGGGAGTTCAATGTACCAAGATAAAAATAAGCAAGTATACTTAAACAGAAATTGAGGTCAGCATTAAAAGCAGACTTTGATCTATTTTTTCATTATGATGTTTACCCAAGGCAGGAAGAAATGTTTATTCTATTACAGATGTGGTTTAAGGTGACAATGTGTTGCTTTAAAAAGATTTGGGTTATAATTTTGTGATCATTGCAAAAAAAGTTTTTTTCTTTTTCTTTTACCACTCTAACTGGAAAAGAAGAGAACAACTAAATGAAATAGCCCCTGACTGTGTGTTGTTAATATGAAAAACTACTTAAAATTAGAAGAAATTGAATAAATATTTCAGAATTGATAAAGTTACCTCAAAGTTATGCCTTATGAAGATTGTTAAAAAAAAAAAAAACAAAAACCTCCAAACAGTTGACTAATTAAATGTAATTCTAAACTTTTCCATATTCAGCTATTAGCACTGGAGCATTAAGTACAGAGTCGTGAAATTAAATGACTAGTCCCTAGAACCTAATCAAGTGTAAGAAACTTCTGATCAGAATTTCAAAGTCCCAAGTGTTAAAGTAATTTGCACTGACTAAGAATCTACACAAAACTGTCCAGCTGAGTTCATAGCTAATCAACACTGCTTTTTCCAAAATGCATCAATCCTTCAACACCCCATGACGATACAGCACTATCATCATGCAGGCAGAGCAGATGGCTATGCCTGACCATTCATCTCAAATCCAGAAACAGTAATTCAACTGAAACACCACAATTTAATGTTTTATGTTGGTCATGATCTTTGAATACAAGTCCAAAAAACTCTTGTTGGTTGTCACGTGCTGTGTACACTGATGCATTTGATCAAATCTGTTCAGAAGTCGGTTTATAAGCACCAGTATGATTCAATAATTCAATATCCAATATGGTGTTCTGATCTTCAGGAATTCACCAATTCACATTTTTGTTATGTAATAGACACATGTAATCTGTAAGGAGCCAAGCAAGTTTCTTTCCTTTCTTTGATTATCAGGTGATATACCACAAAAGTTTGGGGAGCATGTCTGTTAGCCCAGCAGAGTAGGTACAGCTTATTAAGTGGTAACCAGTTCTAGGCTAGTTAGCTTGGTTAGTATAAAGAGCCTTGTGCTACACAGGCAAGTTAATTCTACATGCCCCCTCCCAGTATTATTTGGGGTACTAGGGTGACATACATGGTTTAATGCTCAATCTTTATTCTATCCTTTCTTTTCATTCCACCTACTACACAAGAGCACTCTAAAAAACCCGCCTCTACACATGAAAAGATACTCAACATCATTAATTATTAGAGAAATGCAAATCAAAACTACAATGAGGTATCACCTCACATCAGTCAGAATGGCCATCATCAAAAAATCTACAAACAATAAATGCTGAAGAGGGTGCGGAGAAAAGGGAAACCTTTTGCACTATTGGTGCCAATGTAAATTGATACAGTCACTATGGAGAACAGTATGGAAGTTCCTTAAAAAACTAAAAATAGAACTACCACATTACCCAGCAATCCCACTACTGGGGATATACCCTGAGAAAACCATAATTCAAAAGGACACATGTACCACAATGTTCATTGCTACACTATTTACAATAGCCAGGACATGGAAGCAAACTAAATGTCCACTGACAGATGAATGGATAAAGATGTGGTACATATGTACAACTGAATATTACTCAGCCATAAAAAGGAAAGAAACTGGGTCATTTGTAGAGATGTGGATGGACCTAGAGTCTGTCATGCAGAGTGAAGTAAGCCAGAAAGAGAAAAACAAATATTGTACATTAATGCATATATATGGAATCTAGAAAAATCGTACAGATAAACCTATTTGCAGGGCAGGAATAGAAGAAACACAGACGTAGAGAACGGACATGTGGACACAGTGGGGGAAGGGGAGGGTGGGACGAATTGGGAGATTAGGTTTGACATAAATACACTATGTGTAAAACAGATAGCTAGTGGGAACCTGCTGTATAGCTCAGGGAGCTCAGCTTGGTGCTCTGCAATGACCTAGATGGGTGGGATGGGTGGGGAAAGGAGGAGAGGGAGGTCCAAGAGGGAGGGGATATAGGTATACATATAACTGATTCACTTAGTTGTACAGCAGAAACTAACACAACATTGTAAAGCAATTTTACTCCAATAAAAAATTAATTAATTAAAAAGAAATTAAAAACCTGCCTCTAAAGAGCACAGCCCATTAAAGATGCAGCAGACAGATGAATTCATATTCTTAATTATACCTATTATAAAAATAATCCTAAATAACAATATCTTATTAAGTATTGATATACCCCTAGATTTACACAGCTTTCTTTTTAGCCCCATTTGAAAAAAATGGCCTAAAAAGAGTTCAGAAGAACTACAGAATAAAATGTAAACCCATACAGGCTGGTTAATTTAAACTGAGGGAATACAGTTTATTCCATAGTCATAAACAACCCCTTAAACAACCACTATCCAACAGAACTTTCTGTGACAATGGAAATGTTCTATGTTTGTGCTGTCTAGTATGGTAGCCACTAGCCACACGTGGCTACTGAGCACTTGAACTGCTAGAAGTACAACTGAGGAAAGAAATTTTTTATTTTAATCAATTTAAATCCAAACCTAATTATCCACATATGGCTAGTGGCAACCATACAAACAGTAAGGGAAGCTCAAAGCAAATTTTTATTACACCAAAAAAGACTCAAAGCACATATTTTACTAAGAGTCTGCCATGGAGCGCTACTCTTCTACAGAAAGGCAGGTATTCAGGTAGTCTTAAACTACTCCCTCTACCTGGAATACTTTTGCACAGTGGCAAATAGGAAGAAATAGAAGGAAACCCTTGTATAAAAGAAAAGACCCTAGCGCCAAATCTAGAATTATTTTTAACAGCTAGAGGATTCTTAAAGATCATCTAGTCTGGGCTTCCCTGGTGGCACAGTGGTTGAGAGTCCGCCTGCCGATGCAGGGGGACACGGGATCGTGCCCTGGTCCGGGAAGATCCCACATGCCGTGGAGCAGCTGGGCCCGTGATCCATGGCCGCTGGGCCTGCACGTCCGGAGCCTGTGCTCTGCAACGGGAGAGGCCACAACAGTGAGAGGCCCACGTACCAAAAAAAAAAAAAAAAGATCATCTAGTCTGATCCCTTCATTTTACAGTACAAAAAACCCTGCAGCACAAAAAGATTAGGAATCAACAAAGTCAGAAAGCTGGGATCAGCATTCATATCTTCTAACTCAACAGACCATTGAACCTATACTGGCTAAATCCAGACTGATTACATAGAAAGAACATGAAGAAAATGGCAAGGTATCCCGGTTTTTACTCAGAGCTTTCTCCTCCTCTGGAATACAAAAAAAGAAAAAAAAAAAAAGCTTCCTTTTGCAGGTATTTCTGGGGTAGTATGGAAACTGCCAATTGGCTTTTCTTGAATTACTAGCATCAGAAACCCAATAGAAAAAATTTCAGCAAACCGTGTTCTTAGGTACCAGTTACAACGCAGAGTATCCCTCTCTTCCACATCAGGAAAACAAAACATTTTCATTGTCCTGGGAGTCTCCTTATTAGTTTAAAGGATCCAAAGCTGAACGAACAGGACAATGCCTTTAAAGATGGATATTTATCGTTAAAGCTTTCTGGAAAATTATGTTTTGATACATTCAAGTTAAATTAATGGAAATAAAACATATTCTGTTTTTTTTTTTTTTTTTTTTTTTTTGCGGTACGCAGGCATCTCACTGTCGTGGTCTCTCCCGTTGCGGAGCACAGGCTCTGGACGCGCAGGCCCAGTGGCCATGGCTCACGGGTCCAGCCGCTCCGCGGCACGTGGGACCCTCCCAGACCAGGGCACAAACCCGTGTCCCCTGCATCGGCAGGCGGACTCCCAACCACTGCGCCACCTGGGAAACCCCATATTCTGTTTTTAAAAGTTCACTTGGAGTGAAGGTGAAGTGGTTTTATTAAGAAAAAAAAAAAAAAGCCCACAATCCTGGGAATACACCTGGCCATCTTCTCTGACAACAAATACTTAATTCAAGGCTGCAGCCATTCCCTCAGTTTTAAATTAGGAAACTTCAGAAACTGCATTTACTCTTTCAGGTCACCAACACGCCACTGCTTCAGACATCCAGTTTATAAACAGAAGCACTGGCTAACCTAAGACCAATTGGAAGCCCGGAGAGACATAGGCCCTTTTCTTCTTGGTCCTTCTACCTCCCGCTCCATTATTAGCACATGGGGTGCCCTCTCATCCCTTAGAATTCTGTGTCTGTCACAACGAAGCAAGTTGTTTACTTCACCAATCCTTTATCACCTATCTATAAAATGGAGATAATGTATCTATCTTATAATGGGGAATGAACACATATATAAAAAGCATGAGCACAGTGTTGGCACACAGATATGCACTCAACAATAGCTTCATTCCTGAGCCTCACGCCCTTGGGTTCCCTATTCACATCCCAACAGCCTACCCCCAGACGAAGAAGTAATAAAATTAGGAGAAATTTTTAATATAGGAAGATTCTTCCTTCTAATAACTGACAATCCAATTGTTTGTATATACATTATTTCATTATAAATTTATTAGTAATTTATATTTTATATTGTGACTCTCACATGCCAACTTATACTATAAGCTCATAGACAGAAAGCAGCCAGAGAGACAAGGATAAGATAAGAAGTGAGAGGAAAACTCAGTTTTAAAGCAGTAAAAGCAAGTGTCAGAAGGGGTTAGAGTGTTAATTATTCCCATCCGAAACTAAACCCCACCTTCCCTGCATGTCCAAATCCTACCTATTACTGAAGACTTGGGTTAGTTGCCACCTGCATTTTAAGCCTCTAACCCCCTTCCATGAAAATCTAGCACGTTCACTGCCAGACCTGCACACCTTTCACAGAGATAAAAAATATGTTTATCTTCATGGCCTTTAAACATAGGAATCAAATATTAAACTTCTAACTTAGACTTTTCTTCTTATTTAATGTTTTGGTCTGCCCTAAGACATTAAAATCTTAGGCAATTTAATTTGAGAACTATTATACACAATTAAAAGAAGAAATTAATATTTCTATTTTTGTAAGTAAAACCGATTTCTTATATTCACACCAAACATTTTTAAGACATCATCAGTAATATTAAGCCAGTTACATGCAGAAGACACTTTAAATAAAAATAATTAAGCTAGCTTTAGTAACAAGAAAGGACAAGTTCCACTCCAAAATAACAAACACATACATGAGGATTCGCTTAATTTTAAGCAACCAAACATCTTTTTTCTCTCTTTTCTAAAATATCACAATGAGAAGTATGATAAAGTTTTAAATGTGTAGGTCAATACAGTCATAAATATTTTCATTCTGGTTATACCTTAGAATGCTATTCTAGAAGGGATCTGTTTATGAAAGTTGCTTGTCCAGCAACAATTAGATAGTGGTTCTTAACCTCTTAGGATCAGACTCCTCCGAGAATCTGATGATAAAAATGCCTGTGGGCATTTCACATGAAAACACACATATACTCAAATCCTTGCCTGAGATTTTAAGGCTTCATGCCCCATCCCCCATGCCTATTCACATACCAAGCTAAGAACCCCTGCAATAGGAGGCAGCTGGGAGACTTATCAACACTGAAAAAAGTTCCAATTTAGGAATGACTCACAGTAACTAATACTCTACTGGTTGCAGTTTGTTCTTGCTGCTAACAAATCTGGGAGTGATGGTAAAACAAAAGAAGTAATTTTCAGAGGAGATGAAAGAATGACTTGGGTCATCCCTCAATGAAAACCCTGCTGACTTAGTTTTTTTAAAAAAAAGAGAGAAAGGAAGAAGGGAACAGGGAAGGAGAGGCGGGGTGGAGGGCGGTGGAAGGAATGAGAGGGGTAGAGGGACAAATCTGAGGGACAGAAGAACAAACCCATAGAAAGAAAACACATTCATCTACTCAATCTTTCTTGGTCAGGAGCATTCATGAGATGAGTGTGAGGCTGTAACTACAACAGAAATGGCTGGACTCCATGCACACACTTGGTCCACTACAGGCAGAAGAGACACTCTCTGACCTTTAGGTTCAAACATGACAAACACTCCTACTTGGCAAACGATTAGTCAATGTTTTACTTTGAGACTGCATATTTCAGCAACTGATCACAACATGCAGGGCAGGCAATCCTGGCCTACCAGCCACTTCTGAATCTGTCCCCATTTCCGATCAAAGGAATGATAAGAGTGCTACAAATGCAAAAGTTTCATAAACTAAAGCATCCAACATACTGCATTCTATGAAAAGTCTTAAATTAATCACATACAATTGTCCTGAACAGCAATGATTGTTAATTCAAAGTTGTTACACATTCAAAATACAGAACATACTAAGCTAAATATGCTCAATAATAGAGATATATGGTCCTCTGTAGTTTAGAGAACTATAAATAAAACTTATACTTAATAACTGTATCCTTATAATTTTAGGAGTATAAAAGACAATACATTGTCACATTTTCATTTCAAGCTAAGAATTGCATTCATATTTGAAGCTATGAGGTTAAAAAATTTAGCAATATATTAACTGCTTTTGGTTTTGTTTTTGAGCTGTGACAATATGGACTCTATGCACATCTCTTTAACACATTAACAGAAGATCCACCACCAACCTCAAAATAAAGTGTTTAATACTGCCCTGCAGGTTTTACACCCCACTTCGTACTAATACAACACCAGAAATATTTTTTACGGGAATTTTCGGAGCTAGGTCAATGTCAGAAGGAAAGAGTAAAAAAGAGTATTTGTTTCATTTTAAAGCAACCCAATTTCTATATGCTTACTTAAAAAAAATTTTTTTTTGCTTTTCTTTCCGATAATTAAAACATATTGAAATGTATTAACTATAGAAAAGCATAAGAACATAAAACCAATCATAATTCCATCATAGATAAACCAAAGTACTGGTAGTAATCACTTCTTTCCAGTAGTTTTTGACCTATATACAGATACTAGTTTTTGTAACACAAAACTGGAGTTCCACCCATCTTACAGTTGTGCTTTTTTTTTCATTTTCTTAGATGAATATTTTCTTCTATTATTAAATATGCTTACAAACTGTAAGGTTGTATGATTTCAGTTTTACTATGTAGACATCATAACATAATTAATCAAAATTCTAGGACACTTATGACCACAGGAAATAACTTTGTCATCGCTAAGCCTACTTTAGCTGTTACAAGCACTTATTACACAATAGTAACTTATAATGAGTAAGAACTATGTATGTGTTTGCTGTTATGATTTAAAACAAATATTGCATTTAACTTGCTGACATAAATGGCTTGTTAAAATATATACATCAGGTTATTCTATTCCCAGTGTTTCAGAAGAAACCAGTTTTACTTCAGACGGAAACTAGCCAAGTATTGATATTTTTGAGACCAACACTAACTCAGGGTTATCCACCCAAATTACCTCTTTTTGTTGCCGTTCCAGTTCTCTCATGCGGATATCTCTTGCTTCTGCTCGGGCAGCCCGTTTTGCTGCCAGTCTTGCCTCTGCCTGAAAAGTAATGTAAAGATTCAGCTTTATTTAAAAACCACCACCACCAGCACCACACCTGTACATCAGCTTGGAGGACAAGGAGCCAATGGGACATTACTTCCCAAAGAGGGTGGGGGGCAAGGTGTCGTCCATCAGCAGCCTGACTGACTTCTTCCATCAACATCCCGTCCGTACTCACTTCTTTTCCTAGGCCCAGAGTCTCTCCTGAAATCTGGGCCTTTACCGTCAACTGCTTGCCTTGATTACACATTCAAAACATTTCACACAATTCATTATATGTTTCTACACACTTGCTTTTTCCAGAATTTTCTTCCCCATCAATTCAATCATACAGATTAGAAACTGCAGGGCCAGCCTCTATTTCACTTTGGACCTTGCCAGTATTCCCTCTCCAAGTCCTGTCAATTCTGGACCACTGAGTTTCTCTCCAACCCATCTCAGGTTTCTTTATGCTCACTGTTCCTGCTTGTTTCAGGAACTCTTCCTCTCTCTCTCTTTCCACTGAGATATAATTCACACACCATCAAATCCACAACTTAAAAACATACAATTCAGTGGGTTTTCAAGTACATTCACAAAGTTGCACAATTATCACTACTATCTAATTCCAGGATACTTTCATCACCCCAAAAGGAAAACCTGTACCCATCAGTTGTCACTCCTTGTTACCCAAACCCAGACCCTAGCAACCACTAATTTACTTTCTGTCTCTATGAATCTGCCTCTTCTGGACAGAGCATATAAATGAAATCATACAATAGGAACTCTTTATCTCTTGTTTGGATACTGCAACAGTCTCCAAATCCATCTACCCAACTCCATATTCTGCCCTTCAATTCATCCTCTATGTGGTTACATGATGGCCAGTCTGCCTTTGTTTCTGATCATGCCAATCATTCTGCTGTGTAAAATACTCCAGTGGCTCCCCATTACTCATGGTTAAAGCAAAAATTCCATAGACTAGCACAAAGAGAAGACAGGAGACGAAAAGCAAAAGCAGAGATTAAGGTTTCTCCCAGTCATCTCTCCACCTTATTTCCCATTACGTGCCCCACCTGCGCCAGCCGCATCCACCTCCCTCCACTCCTGGACTCTATCTACTGTGCTGGGAGGTGAAGCCTCTCTTCACAGACTGCTGGCAGGAGGTATTCTCCCTTCTCTCTTCTTCAGCTACCGTGCTAACTTCTATGAAGGGTTCCCCCAGTCCCTCTTTCACAGAGTAATACCCTATGGACATGTGCCTACTGTGGCTTATTACACTGTATTAAATGTACTACATGGTATTATATGGTATTAAAATTACATACTTCTGTCACCCCACAAATTTCATGCCTCAGTGCCTGCTAAATAAACAAGAGATTTTCAGGTCATGGGCCAAAGTATCGAGGAAATGAGCCAACGAAACAGCTTGATGTACCACATGAAACAAAAAAATCTTCTCTCTGGTTTCTCTTACGGTGGTTTCCTCAGTTCTTGGCCACATCTCAACTCTGATTCAGATCGCCTCTCTTCTGGTAATGACAGTAGCTGCTGCTTCTCATGCTATTATATTTGTGCCTAAGTCTCACACTAGGAAGAGACTCAGCCAATGTTTAAAGTGGTCTACTGTGTGTAAGCCATTATACTGAGCACTGAAAATACAGAGTTAAGACATGCCACCTCTGCCCTGAAGACGTTCACAAACTAGCCAAGGGAGACAATCACAATGTTTAAAGGGAAGGAAGCATGCAGGGAGGAGCAATTAGTTTTGCCTGGCAAGGTCACAGCAGGCTTCTAAGAAGAGGAGACAGTTTAATGGTTACTACTTTTTCAACTACCCCAATTTTGGCGATTTCCTAGTCTGTTTAACTGACCTTTAAGTAGCAAAAACGCTGCAAAGTGAACTGCAATCTGCCAACCGAAAGCTCTCACACTGTCATCACCGGAGCAATTAGTGTTCTCACATGAATTTTACATTGTCCTCTATCATTAAAAACCCTACATTCCCCACCTTCTTTACCCCTCTATGAATGGTCACCATTTTCTTACCAGAGTTTGTATTTTATAGAGAAAGACTTCAAGGCTAAGTTATGCTTCAGCAGATAACAAATACGTTTTAAAATTACAAAGTATCATTTTTCTGGGAAAAATTTTCAAATCTCTCTTTTTAATTTAAGAAAGCCACAGCAATGGGTAGGAATTTTCATTTACACTTATATTAGCTTTGCACTTGTAGCTTCCCTTAGAAATTTATTGAGAATGCCAATTTCATCCTCCTGAGATCTGTGGCCAATTCTGCACAATCTATTCTAAAATGGGACTTCTCTCACCAAACCTAAATTACAGATAATTGAAATCTATTCTCTAATACAACTTCTTGCACAACAAAAGGACCTACTGTATAGCACAAAGAACTCTACTCAATATTCTGTAATAACCTACATGGGAAAAGAATCTGAAAAAGAATGGATATATGTATAATATATGTATAACTGAATCACTTAGCTGTACACCTGAAACTAACACAACACTGTAAATCAACTACATTCCAAAATAAAAAATTAAATTTAAAAATTAAAAAAAAAGAAGTAAGGGACCTAACTGCTGTATAACAGAAAGAACATGGGCTTCAGAGCCAGAAAAACATCCTTCTCTTTGTTACTTAGCCAACTTTATGCAAAACTCAGATATTACCTCCCTTGGAGTTGGTATTAAATAAGGCAAGCTTTAAAAAGGTAAAGAGGATTTTAAATTACTGTATCTGTTTTTTTTCTGTACATTGCTTCCACGCGCCTGACAGGAGTAGCAAGGAGCTAATGGTGATTCCAATCTGGTAAGACAAGATGTGTACTCTAATTCTTATACTGACATATTTTGAAATAGTCAAATTATAGGTACACAAAGCATACTTCTAAGTACCAACACTAGCACCTTCCCCTCGGAATACTATTGTGTAAAAGAGCTACTGCAAATTCGTTTTAACCCACCCTGACCGATATAAAATAAAAAAGATAAAATACTAAAGGACCACGAGGATTTAACTGAGTTTAAAACAAAGTTGGTTAAAAAAAAATAAACATAGCATCACCACTTGATCCAATAATTCCACTTCTGGGTACATACAACAAAGAATTGAAAGTAGAGACCCAAACAGGTATTTGTACACCAATGGTCATAGCAGCATTATCCATAATAGCCAAAAGGTGGAAACAACCCAAATGTCCATCAGCAGATGAATGGATAAACAAAATGTGTTATGTACATACAATGGAATATTACGTAGCCTTTAAAAGGCTACATAATTAGATTTTGACACAGGCTACAACATGGATGAATTCTGAAGACGTTTTTTTTAAATTAAATTTTATTGGAGGACTTCCCTGGTGGCGCAGTGGTTAAGAATCTGCCTGCCAATACAGGGGACACAGATTTGAGCACTGGTCCAGGAAGATCCCACATGCCACGGAGCAACTAAGCCCGTGCACCACAACTACTAAGCCTGGGCTCTAGAGCTTGCGAGCCACAACTTCTGAGCCTGCATGCCACAACTACTGAAACCCGAATGCCTAGAGTCCCTGCTCAGCCACAAGAGAAGCCCACCGCAATGGGAAGCCGGTGCACCACAATGAAGAGTAGCCCCCGCTCGCCACAACTAGAGAAAGCCCGAGCACAGCAATGAAGACCCAACGCAGAAATAAATAAATAAATAAGTAAGTAAAATATATGAGGAAGTTGAGTCTTAAAAAAAAAGTTTTACTGGAGTATAGTTGTTTTACAATGTTGTTGAAGACATTATTAAGTGAAATAAGCCAGACACAAAAGGACAAATATTAAATGATTCTGCTTATCTCAAGGATCTAAAGTAGTCAAATACCATGGAGATAGAAAGTAGAACAGTGGTTTCCAGGGGCTGGGGGGGACAAGGGAATGGGGAGCTATTATTTAATGGGTACAGAGTTTCAGTAAGGATGATGATAAAGTTCTGAAGATGGATAGTTGTGATGACTGCACAGCAATCTAAATGTACTTAGTGCCACTGAACTGTATACTTAAAGATGATTAAAATGATAAATTTTATGTTATGCTTATTTTACCTCAAAACAAAAAAGGTTAGTTAACTTAAAAGTTAGCATAAGACATGAATGAAATCAGAAGTATTCAGGAGCCTAAATCATTTAAGTATTTGTATGGTCTTTAGGCTGACATGACCCAAACTTTTAAATAAAGTTAACAGGAAAATTCAGGAACTGGAAATTCAGGTTAAGAAGTTACCTGTGAAATCCAGTAAGTACTGGACCAGGTTTCTAAACATTATTCTAATCATTATGCTTTCAAGTATTAGGCACATAAAAGCCGATTAAAGGAAATATGTAATTGGATAGGTATAGGAATTTATTCTTCCTAGAGCAGTGAAAATGAAAACACAAAAAATAAAGATATGTTTGGATAGAATTAAATCTATTTCTCACTAAATGCTTGGGGCAAGTGGAAAAACAAAATGACAGCAAAACCCATGGGCCTTGATCACCCCTGGAATAAATGCTTTAGATTGTGTTAAATCATAAACCTTCTAAATTCGTTGAATGTTCACTTTATCACTCAACTAATAACTAGGAACCATACAATGGAAAAGATGAGGACTAAACATGTACGATGGTTTGAGTGCTTCTACATTAGGGACATAATTTTGTATTATGTTGTTTGGGGATGTAAAAAAAGAAAAATACATGAGATGCAATAAAAAGACAAATACGGCTGACCCTTGAACAACATGGGTTTGAATTGTATGGGTCCACTTACACATGGATTTTTTTCAATAGTAAATACTACAGAACTACATTATCCACAGATCGGAGGAACCCCAGATATGAAGGGCCAACTGTAAGTTACAGAGGGATTTTTGACTGCAGGAAGGGTCGGCACCCCTAACCTCCTCATTGCTCAAGGGTCAATGGTAACTCGATTTTAGAATGGGCAAAGGATTTGAATAGACATTTCTCTAAAGAAGATATACAAGT